ATCATTCTACTTTTCATACCTAATTCTGTTTGTTGTTCTGCAGACTATTGATCTTAATACAGGCTTTCTCTCCTTTTGTTGTTCTTTTTTAAATGATGGTAAAATTTAGAACTTGCTTCTCCATTTATATTTAAAAGAAACATAAATTATGGACATTTTATGAAAGATGAAATGCATACGTTTTAGCAATCATAAGAAAAAATAAAAGAAGGCAATGGTATAGAAAGCACGATCATCTGCACTTATTTGCCCACCAAGGACAAATGAAAGTGTACTGTCAATTGTAAATAAAAAAATACCCTATTTGAGGCCCTAATAAGCGTATGTGTAAATAGTTTTAACAGCTGCCTAGTTGGTCTCCCATCTCTAGTTTCCACTTCACTCTGTGTTACATACCCCTGTGAAGGTGATCTTTATGAGAAACTATGCTGGTTTTTTGTCCAACAATTATGGATGACTCCTCACTGCCAGAAAGTAAATAAATACAGTAAAAGCCTCATAAGTTCTCAGACCTTCTCCACTCTGGCTACATCTAACCTTTGTGCATTTATTTTTCCACATAAATCCTCCCTGCCAACAAGATTGCCAAACCCATTATCTCTTCTACATGTCTTAAGCTTTCCCATCAATGAGTGTTTTGTTTATTGACTTATTTACACACACAGGGACATCTTTATCAACTTGATCTATATTTGAAAACCTGTATTAAAGTCTATCTCTGTAAGACTTTCCCAGCCAGGCCTGAAGAGATACTCTTCTCCAGAGGCTCTGCAGCAGCGACTGCCAATACAGTTCACTTAGAATCTATTGTTTACTGTCTAGTGAAATCTGTTCAGTATTGTCTTGACCTGCACTATCGTTTAATTTTTCACAAATATGTCTTAATTTTCCTTTATTAAATTCATTGAGGACAGGGACTAGTTCAAACTTCATGTTATCCACAATATTTTATACATGAAAGATATGTAATCAATATTTATTTATTTGACTTAATATGAAGCTTTCATATCTAAAGATGTATCATTATCTATCATTCAAAGTCTTTTTTCCCTAAAACTTTCCTAAATATGCTCCACTTTTGCCTGAGTTTGATTCTCATATATTATCGACATCTGCTGAGAACCTACCATGTACAATGCATTTTCATAAATAGATATTTTGTCCTTTCATTACATTTTAAGTACATTCAGCCTAGGTCTATGTCTTCTACTTTGGATGCTGTATAACACTCTGAGAGTACATCATTGAATAGGTATTCTATATATTGAGAAAATGGTCAATTGAAATTTCAACTAAGAGATCAAGATATGGTTGCTGTCAGGTATCAAAGTGAATTATAAAAGAGATCAAAACACAGGATGTCAAAGTAAATACAAATAACAGACTTCAGGTTTTTGAAAGGTTTATACTTATGTCAGTGGTATGTGAAAATTCTTCAGAGGCAATTTGAAGGAGTGGGTCTATATGGAGCTTTCACTGGAGAGGCTTGCTGCTCTGTTGTGAGTTGAGCCTTACTCCTCAAATTGAGCGCTAGATGCTACATTCCAAATAAGAGTGAGCATAGCTTCCAGGAGCACTCCAGTGTCATCTAAAGTTGTGGGAAGGGAAAAACTAAGCAACTTAGACTAGATTCTCCACCTGCCTGAGGAATCTAAACATGGAAAAGTATGATGACTCATAACCTGAGGTGGCAGGAAAGAGAGAGAGAGAATTGCTGCTGTGCTGTGTTGGAAAGTAAATGTGCTCCCCTCCTACTGCAGATTAAGGGTGCGTGAATCCTGTGGTCCAGATGGGGAACCATGGTAGAAGCGTTAGTAAGTAGTTTGTGTAAAAAGCGTTCCTCCCAATAGGCCTGTGTTGGAAGGTGAAAGAATTCCCCTAAGAGAGTTGATAAAGAAGGAAGGAGGAGTAAATGTCAGTAAACCAATAGCAAAGGGGTTTGAGAAGGAACAAATGTGAGCCACCAGTAAAAGAAGAGGCAATGCCTGCCTCACAAGTCTCTAGAGTGAGTCTCAGCTGGAAGAATAGAGTGGGCTCCAGGAACTCAGAAGTGCCCCTTATAACAAATATCAACTTTAAACACCGCCCAGTCTCAGAAAGCACGGAACCATATTGTATAGGTCAGGTGAATAATTTCTGCACCCTCTTCCCCCTTTTTTTGCCACAAACTTCAGCTTTCTAGGGGGAAAAACACATAAATCTGAGGGTGGAGACAGTGGAAGAATAGAAAGAGCTTCCGAGTCTTCCTTCGAGACTCCTGAACTTAGCCTAGCAGAAAAAGATGATTTTCTCCTGCATTGAGACTTTTGATCATTATATGTGACTGGCCATTCTAATTGCTGTGGGTTTTTTTTTTTTTTAATGACTGTGACACTACTATCCAAGAGTGAGCTGAAAAGTCCTGGAGTCTGCTGAAGACTTTTATCTAGAGGCAATGAAAACCTTCCCCTGCTAAATATGTTTCAAGTTAGGGTGGGAGAAAAAAAATCATATTTTGCTTTTGTTATACCTTATGAATAGTTCAGTGTTTTTACTATTAATCAAATACTTGTTATTAATTTTTTGTTCTCAAAATCCTTTGAAAATCAAGTTTAAGTGAAATAGCTTCTAATACAAAAGTTTCAACTTTTCATATTCAGTTATATTAAACTTATATGGGAACATCTCTTTAGAATATACTATAGTTTACTGTAATTTCTATGTCACTTTTCTGTGATTCCAAGGATGATTATCTAACAAATAGATTAGTTCCATTCAGTTCTGTTCTTCCTATCCATCAAACATTTAATCATTCATACCCTTAGCACTGTATAGGTGCTGTGGGTGGCTCTAAGTAAGATTATAATATGTCCACTGTTTTCACAGAGCTTGAAATATTTTTGAATTGATAAAACTTGTATGAAAGTAATCCCAGTATAGTAAAATATAAGTGCAATAGAGTCCAATCAAGTGCCTAGATGTGTGGATAATGAATGGCAGTAGATGGTCAAAGATTAATATTGCATAAATTTATTGAAAAGTTTACACAAAAAGAGCACTTTGGTTTTGGATCAGAGTAATCACTTTAGGAAGGTCATAATGAATTCATTCATTCCAAAATTAATTACTAAATGCTGAATACAGCCAGGTACTATGCTATGTTTTAGATATATTTTAGTGAATAAAACAGACATTTTCCTTCCCTCATGGAAAGCACAATATGATGAGATTCTAGACTAACATGCTGTCCAAGTAAATATCACGTATAAAATTAGACAATTTACAGGACAATATGCATGCCCACACTTTCCAAACAGTCTCTCAATGACTACCGTACTATTTAATTTTGTCATTAGAGGGTAATTCTTTTTTACTACTTTTTAGTAATGGCCAACACTTATTACGAACTTGTTATACACCAAACAATGTCATGAACATTTACATGTCTTAACTGGCGTAATCTTTAAAAGAGCCTAGTGATGTAAATACTGTTATTAATCTCATTCGTAGATGAAGAAACTGAAATACGGAAAGTGGACATAACCTGCTCAGGACCACACAGCATAGCTGGGTTTCAGATCCAACATTATCAATACAGAAGTCTTTGATTACATTTTTTAAAACATACCTTTGGGCATAGAGTTAAATGGGAAAATAAGACATACATATTAATAACAAACAATAAATGCGAATACACTAAATTATTAAAAAAAACAGTGTGTCAGATTGGATTTTTTTTTTTTTTTGAGACGAGAGTCTTGCACTGTTGCCCAGGCTGAAGAGCAGTGGCGTGATCTCTGCTCACTGCAATCTCCACCTCCCGGATTCACAAGATTCTCCTGCCTTAGCCTTCTGAGTAGCTGGGATTACAGTCACGTGCCGCCATGCTTTGCTAATTTTTCTATTTTTAGTAGAGACAGGATTTCATCATGTTGGCCAGGCTGGTCTCAAACTCCTGGCTTCAAGCAATCTGCCCTGCTCGGCCTCATAAAGTGCTGGGATTACAGGCGTGAACCACCAAGCTTGGCCAGGTTGGATTTTTAAAACCTAATTTAGGGTCTGATGATAAAAGTGCTTTGGAATTTCGACTTCGCTCTTTCTACACTTCAGTTTCTTCTGTGAAAGAGAACTACGAAAATCTACTTTGAAAACTTCAGAAAAATTGTAGTGAGCACAAATATAATAATTTAAATGAAGATGTTGGGGAAACCATAAAGTCTTATGCATAGCAAATTTTTAGTTTTACTCTTTTTTACCCGGAAGCGCAACAGCCATCATTTTGAAAAGGTGTTATCCTTCTTCGTGTTACTTCTATTACATGAATTTGAGTAATTTCCTAATTAGAAATCTTTTTTTGACTTGGAATCAGAAGAAAAATAATAGAAGCTGAAGAAATAAAATGAGGAAAGGAGCTTGTTATGGCCTAGACATCATGATTTACACTAGTGCTGCAGGGAAGGAGAAAACGGGGTCTTCCATTCACCTTAGAGGCCCTTCTTAGTGAGAATTGTTTCGACTACCTATATTTCTGGCAAACTTTGGTTTTAGGAATTATAGGGAAGTATAAACAAGACATAAGTCAAAGTCACCTTTTCCAAGTAGAATAGAGTGAAATCTGCAGCCAGGGACAGAATATACAATGTCTGAGAAAAAAAGTCCTGAAATAAATAAATTGTATAGTGCATCAATGCCAAGAAATATCTTTTTTACCTTTTTTGTTTTTATGATATTCAATGCTGCATGTATATCTGACAATGATAGCTAGAATCAATCACTGTATTTGGCAAATTATCTATTCTTAGAGGAAGAGGGCAAAGCCTGCCATGACTGCATTTGTTTTCCTTCACAACACGTGGAATATAGAATTGATTTTTCCTTAATAAGTGTTTACATTTTACTCCATTACATTCCTAAACCTGAGATAGCTCTGTATGTCTGCAAGATTATACATGCAAATTATATGAAACTTCTATTTATGATGTGAATATATATAATTTTAACCCTTTTTTATGGTTTAACAGGAATCCACTGTGAAGAAGACATCAATGAATGTTCTTCAAATCCTTGCCAAAATGGTGGCACTTGTGAGAACTTGCCTGGGAATTATACTTGCCATTGCCCATTTGATAACCTTTCTAGAACTTTTTATGGAGGAAGAGACTGTACTGATATTCTCCTGGGCTGTACCCATCAGCAATGTCTAAATAATGGAATATGCATCCCTCACTTCCAAGATGGCCAGCATGGATTCAGCTGCCTGTGTCCGTCTGGCTACACCGGGTCCCTGTGTGAAATTGCAACCACACTTTCATTTGAGGGCGATGGCTTCCTGTGGGTCACAAGTGACTCAGTGACAACCAAGGACTCAGTTTGTAACATAGCCCTCAGGTTTCAGACCGTTCAGCCAATGGCACTTCTACTTTTCCGAGGCAACAGGGATGTGTTTGTGAAGCTGGAACTGCTAAGTGGCTACATTCACTTATCAATTCAGGTCAATAATCAGCCAAAGGTGCTGCTGTACATTTCCCACAACACCAGTGATGGAGAGTGGCATTTCGTGGAGGTAACATTTGCAGAGGCTGTGACCCTTACCTTAATCGGCGACTCCTGTAAGGAGAAATGCATCACTAAAGCTGCTTCTCCATTTGAAAGTGATCAATCAATATGTGCTTTTCGGAACTCCTTTTTGGGTGGTTTACCGGTGGGAAGGACCAGCAGTGGTGCTGCTCTGCTTAACTTCTATAATATACCATCCACACCTTCGTTTGTAGGCTGTCTCCAAGACATTAAAATTGATTGGAATCACATTACCCTGGAGAACATCTCATCTGGCTCATCACTGAATGTCAAGCCAGGCTGTGTACGAAAGGATTGGTGTGAAAGCCAACCTTGTCAAAGCAGGGGACACTGCATCAACTTGTGGTTGAGTTACCAGTGTGACTGCCACAGGCCCTACAAAGGCCCCAGCTGCCTGCGAGGTGAGAGAAAGCCGAATGCTATGGCTAGCAGTGCCGAACCTCAGGGCCAAGCAGAAATAGCAAAAACAGCCAGACTGCTTCTGCCATGAAACATAATGACCCCGCAGGACTTCTGCTACTGGTTTCCCACTGATGAGAAAAAAAGAAAAGGGCAGTGATGTGCATTCATTCGTTTTGAGTGGATTCATAGGACATCAGTTTCACTCATAAAGAGAAGTAAAAAAAAAAAATAATAAGCAGATAGCTCCTTTCCAAATAGGCTTTCATCTTTGTGTTTGCAAAATGCTACTGCAATTTTACAATTGGTGGCATATCAGAAATTTATTGTAAATCTTATTTGAAAGAGATATAATCTTCTGAAAAAAGGGACCCTTAGACACAAAATGTGTCAATGCCATATACTAGCATGATATCTTGTGCATAGTAAATTCTCGGTAAATATTCACTTCCTTGCTCTCCTTTCTATGCAATTCACACTTGCTCCAAAATTGTAATTAAGTATAGCATTTTTATAAAAAACCAATTTTATTCAAAGGTATCTTTTCCAAGGTTGCACTGGAGAAGACAGATAATCTACCAGGTGTCTTAAGGGAAAATAAAGAAAGATAAAATGTGGAAAGTAACAAGAGTAGAACTTGGTAGATGCCATAAACTAATTGATCTGATTTCTCTAGTAAACCACAGTTTGAAAAGTATTTCAAAATCCTTAACTTTCAACATTGTTCTAGAGATTGCTGTTGATAGTGATCAATATGTACCTGTTTCTTTTTATTATTATTATCATACATTGAAAAAATCTGAGAGGTAATTGTAACAGACTGCTTTGAAGTTCAGCTGTAATTTACCCCAAGATTTTTGAGTAACTTGAAGTAGGACAACATCTGGTAAGTAGTCTTCTCTGCTTTATATGAAGTGAAATTAAAACCAGTCTTAGCCTATATTCTATTCCATGTTCAAATGGCTAAGAATTATTAGAAACTACTCAAGGGTTTCCCCCTGACCACAATATTCATTACAAATCACAGACCTGTTTGACAATGAAGTATGGCATCTACTACCTCTACGTAATATTTTAAGCAGAATGGCAAGTTGTTTTGTGATTTTTTTTTAAGGAGAAAAAGGGAAATTATGCTGAGGCAATGTTCACTTTTTGAAGAAAAATTTAATTGACCTAAGGCAATATTTTTACTACATATACAAAATAACAAACAGATGCTGACTTATTTTGACTGGCTTCCAGATGCAGTGACCCATGAGGTTAATACTGACCATGGTGATCTTAACTGTCCTAGGAAATAGATTCAAGAGATGCCAATCCAGCGGGTTCTGGTTTTCTTTATTTTATCCAACTTGGAAAACCATGAACTATTTAAACCCAGCTCCTGAATGGGTTACCCTTCCCCGGCTCCTCCCAGTTTCCTTATACTCCAACATTATTTGAAACTGTTTAACCTTCATGAAAATGTTTGACTTCAAACGATCACTTTACAGAGAGACAGTTCTGCAAAATCTTTTCTTTCTGAAAATTCTTGGTATGAATTTAAGGAAAATTATATTTTTCATATCACCTCTTCATTATAAAATTTAAATATTCTGTATTTTTTGTTATCGAGAAAGAATGTTTCCTGGGGAGTTTATTCCCACTACAAACAATGCTTTTAAGCTGTAATGAGAACATGGAGTCTTTCTGCCACTGTACGCATATATTCAAGAGGGAGGAGACGTACTAAAAAGCACAAAGGGAAACTGCAGCCCATTCATGACTTGCACTCACGTTTGGCTCAATGGTTTCTAACCATAGTACACACGGCAATTAACAAGGAGACCATATAGAGGGTTTTGGTAGCTGACTAGACCCAAAAGACATAGCAATCTCCAATATCTTAAGGTTGATCTTTGTAAAATAATCTAATTTCTCAACAGAAAGAGTTCTGAAAAGGATTTACCTAAGTTTAGTTCACAGAAGTGTCCACAAGGTTACCTCAGCATATCTTGTGTTGACCAGGAGAACATGGAGCATCCAAGATATTAACTATTCAGAATTAATGGCATCACCTACCTTTTGCTCTTTGGTGAATATTTGACTTACAAAAGCAATTTACAGATCTCTTTTCTTCAGCCATATACCTAGACTTCGAGAATTTTATCCTCTTAGAATTATAGTTTCCTAGATACAGAAGAGGCTCCATTCTATGACTGAATTTATAATATTATTGTATAGTGGCTCAAATCTCTGCAAAACAACTTCAGGAATAGAAAGATCACTCACTCTATCTTGCCAAAAATTGCCCAAAAGTTACTTCCTTATATTGATATAAAATATGATTTGCCCATAGCTTTCATTCATTGACCATGTTGCAATTCTGGAAGACATGCAAATGAAAATCTCAACTTGCCTCCTACTTGAGAATACTTTATATCTGAAGAGAAGTATCTTGAGCCACCTAAGCCATCACTTCTATCAGGCTAAACGTCCTGTTTCTTCTAATATTTGCCATATGACATAGTTTTCCGACACTTCATCAGCTGCTTGCATGCTTTGCAATACATTTGGTTCTCTGTATTTCTTCTAAGATGTGCTGTCTGTATGTGCTTGATGATGCAGTGACACAGGGCTATAACCTCCCTCATTCTAGGTAATGTGCTTCTATTTTTCAGCCTAATGTAACATTGACTTTTTGGCAGCCACACTTCATGATTGCCTCACTTTGTATCATTTTCACTAGTGATGCCACAGCGTCCTGTTTCTCCCATTCTAAACTTATCAGGCACATTTAGATTGAAGTGGCTCTTATTTATTCTTGTTACATTTCATCTTGTGTATTCCATCAATCATTAAACTTGTCAAAATTGTTTTTCATCTATATATGTTGTCCCTCTTCATGACATGTCAACCACTTGTATGAGAATCACCCTTCCAAATCCACAGCCAAATCATATGTGTCTTTGGTTGTTTCTAAAATGATGTAGCAAATCACACACACTGACGAGTTGCTTGTGATTTCTGAGGAATAGGATTGCTGAAGAGTCAGGCTTCTGAGAAAAAAAAAAAATACTCTGCGTTCTGGCTTTTAATCTGGATCCACAAAGTGATGCTGAAGGCATCCTGGGATGACCAGCAGGCACCCCGCCACCCCTGAGGTTCAGTGATTCTGGGCCTATCTTCAAACCTCAGGGGCTTCAAGAGCCAAATTTTCTTATTAAGCATTTTATCTCATATGAAAGTGCTGTGGTGTATTCAGAGATGTTAACCTCTTCAAAGGGGTTATTTTATCTAACAGTACACTTTTGAAAGCTACCGGTAGTTGCCTGGAGCAGGTGGTCTCCAAATGCAGATTCAAAATGCAATGTTCCTGTAGGAAATCAAGTCCGAGTTCTGAAAATATAGCCTTTTATGCAGAAGATCTTCAAACACAGATGATTGTCTAAGCAAGTTTACTAGAGTTCAGCTCAACTAAAATGTGTCTTACCTTTGCCCAAACTTCAACTGGGTCATATGACGACATTTAGACATGCTGAAATATGCTCTTTTTTTCTGGTTAGGATTGGGAGGTAAAAACTTGAAGAAAGCAATATCTTGAAGACAGTGCTCTTGTCGAGTTATCAATGCTTTCTAGATTGCAAAATCAGTGGTCAATTCTCAGACCCCATCTTACTTGGCTTCTTAATACCAGTTAAGACAGTTAAACACTCCCTCCTCCTGAAAAACTATTTTCTCATTCAGCTCATGGGCCATCACTCTCCCTTGGTTCTGCTCTTATCTCACTGGCTACTCTTGCATCACTTTCTTTACCTCCACCTGTCCAGTGCCTAAGGGCTTACTTCTTGGACCTCTGGTTTTCTCTCTGTATACCCACCCTCTTGGTGAGCTTATCCAGTGTTGTGGCTTTAAATATCTCATATGGTTTGAATGTTTGCCCCTCCAAATCTCATATTGAAATGTGATTCCCAGTGTTGAAGGTGGGGCCTGGAGGGAGGTGACTGAATCATGGGGGCAGATCCCTCATGAATGGTTTAGTATCATCCCCTTGGTGATGAGGGAGTGCCTGCTGCTAATTCACGTGAGATCTGGTTGTTGTGTTTTTGTTGTTGTTGTTTGTTTTGTTTAAGACAGAGTCTTATCCTGTCACGCAGGCTGGAGTGCAGTAGCGCTAACTCGGCTCACTGCAATCTCCGCCTCCCTGCCTCAGCCTCCAAAGTAGCTGGGATTCTCCTGCCTCAGCCTCCTGAGTAGCTGGGATTACAAATGTGTGCCACCACACCTGGCTAATTTTTTATATCATTAGTAGAGATGGGGTTTTACCAGGTTGATCAGGCTGGTTTTGAACTCCTGACCTAGTGATCCACCCACCTTGACCTTCTAAAGTGTTGGGATTACAGGCGTGAGCCCCTGTGCCTGGCTCAGATCTGGTTGTTTAAAAGAGGACGGCGCCTCCCCACTTTGCTCCTACTCTCACCATATTACATGCCTGCTCCCACTTCACCTTCCACCATGAATAAAGTGAGCCCCACCAGAAACTGAGCAGATGCTGGCACCATGCTTGCTGTACAGCCTGCAGAACCATGAGCCAATTAAGCCTCTTTTCTTTATAAATTACCCAGCCTCAAGTATTTCTTTAGAGCAATGTAAAACGGCATAATACAATACTTTATATATAGTAGCAAATCCCACATTATTATAACTAGCCCAGAACATCCTGCCTGAACCTCTATATCAACTGCCCACTAGTCACTTCCACTTGGATATCCAAAAAGGCATCTCAAATTTAATATGGACTCCCACCTCTCCCATAAATCTGTTCCTCCAATTTTCTTCACTATTTCTGCAAATACAAACTCCATGCTTCCAGTTGCTTGGGCCAAAAACCTTAGAGATGAAATTGTTCCAGAAAATTCTACCTTCAAAATATTTTGAAAATCGGGTCACTTTTCACCACTTTCACATTAGCACTGATCCAAGCCATCGTCATTTCTCTCTTGAGTTACTATAATAATGTAGAATAACTTTGGGCTTTTGCTTAAATATCTCTTTCTCAGAGAGTTCCTCCCTGATTGTCCTATTTAGAATTACAATTCCACCCCTCCAAATCTCCCTAGTCTCTTTCTCTACCTGACATTTTATAATAAAGGATTTTCTCACCATCTGACATATTATATAGTTTGCTTCCTTATCTGTGTCTGGGGTATCTCTTCTAACTAGAATGTAAGCTTTATGAGAACGGGAAGTTGTCTTCCATATCACCAATATTTTACAATGTCAGCTTTTATTTTTATATATCTCAAGAGTTTTCTCGAGGTGATGCACTTCAATAGCATTGCCACATATGAGCATCACTAACTCCTCTGACCACAGGAAATGCTGGGTAGGTTTAATACTCAGCTTTGCCCCTACTTCTCTGTGTCCTGTGCCATTCCTACTCCCAATCAGAGTCCTTCTTTTTAGTTGTTCAACTGCCTTGTCTCTTATGTGAGTTGTCACCCCAAGAGAAGATGTAATCATCTAATTCTTGATTTCTGTTATCCCAATTTATGTTATTTACAGATCAAAAACCTGAAGTTTGGAAAGGTTATGTAAGTAGCTTAAATAATGTGTTAATAATAGATCTGGGACAAATACAGTCCAGGCTCTAATAAATTTCTTTATAAAGAATAATTAGGTTTAATGACATCTTTGCTTCAGCATGCCTCTAAGTAGCAAAGATGATGACTGCCCTCACAGTCCGCTTGCAGGGCTGTATAAAGTGCTTTTGTCCAAACATTTCTTCCATCAAGCTGGAGTACAGCAGTGTCTGATATACACCATTAAGCCCCATATTTTAGGGCAACATAGGGGAGATCCTTTAGTTTATCAGTGCAGAGATCTTTTTGGTCTGTTTTGGGTCTGTTTTGTGATCAATGGTCCTCAAGTGTAAGCTACAAATGGATATATAGTCAATTTAGGCATAAAGTAAACTCGGAAGTTCAGAAAGAGGCCAAATCATTATTCTATTGAATAAGCCTGTCCCGAACTTTAAAAGTTAAGTTTGAGTGTGTGTGTGAAATGTAGAATTTTCATCTTCCATTCCTTCTGGCTTTTGAGCCTTAAGATGTTTCTTTCTTTTTTTTCCTCTTCCTCTATTTTGACATTGAAGAGTACGTGGCAGGCAAATTTGGCCATGATGACTCCACTGGATATGCTGTCTTTACTCTTGATGAGAGCCATGGAGACACCGTCAGCCTCTCCATGTTTGTCCGAACGCTTCACCCATCAGGCTTACTGCTGGCTTTGGAAAACAGCACTTACCAATATATCCGCGTCTGGCTAGAGCACGGCAGATTAGTAATGCTGACTCCAAGCTCTCCAAAATTAGTAGTAAAATTTGTTCTTAATGATGGAAATGTCCACTTGATAACTTTGAAAATCAAGTCAAATAAAATTGAACTGTATAAATCTTCACAAAACCTGGGATTTATTTCTGCTTCTACCTGGAAAATTCAAAAGGGAGATGTCATGTACCTCGGTGGCCTACCTGACAGGCAAGAGACAGAACTTAATGGTGGATTCTTCAAAGGCTGTATCCAAGATGTAAGACTAAACAACCAAAATCTGGAATTCTTTCCAAATTCAACAAACGAGGCATCGCTCAACCCGGTTCTTGTCAACGTAACCCAAGGCTGTCCCGGAAACAACTTCTGCGAGGTAAGGATTACGCAGACAAAGTAGGTATATACTGTATGTTAAACTTTTATTTTATTACAAAGATAACTTATTAAATTATTCTTTCTTTGTACATAAAGATGACATTACTGACCCACCACCATAGAATAAATATTTCATCTACATATTTCCAACAAGATCGTGGAATTGACATTGAGCCATAGAAATATGGCCTTGATCTTATTGGCATCATAAAATCTATTTAACGAAACAAAATAATTTCAGCTTTAGGCTTCCCTCACCCTCACAACAATCAAATTACTAAAGTATAATAATATTTCAATTCCTAAACTCCTAATGGCACCCCCGAGGTTTAACTGAATTCATTCTTTTTGCATGATATTGTTAACTTTAAATGCCCAGCTACTGTTGTTTGGAACTTTTATTAAGTCAGCAACAATAAGAACTCTGAGCTATAACTTCCTTCTGGTAGTTGAAATCCTCTGAAATATAATTTCTCAAAGCCCATGCTTTACTTTAAATGTTCTATGTGATCTTCTAAGAGCTGCTTAAATATGAGAACTTGTCAGCTCTGCATGATCTTTCAAAGGGAAAGAAAGTGAAACACATTTCTGTGTACTGAACATTTGTTGAGTTCCAACTATCGCGTACACTAAGCTTGGTTCTAAATATACACAAATGAATTGTAACATCACTACAGAACATTTGCAGTCACTAGGCACTATTTTCCATGGATTAATTCATTTAATTCTATTGAAGAAACCCTGTGGAAAGCATTGTTGTTATCCCAATTTACGTTATTTACAGATAAAGTAACTGAAGTTTAGAAAGGTTATGTAACTAGCATAACTCATATGTTAATAGTAGACCCTGGACAAACACAGTTCATGCTCTAATAAATCTTCTTTTAAATACTTTCATTTTGCATACTTTTTGTGAGAAACCTTCTGAGACCAATGCAGGAAGAGCAGTCACTGAAATAGGATCCAAAGGTCCTAGGTACCAAGTTTCACTGTTTCACTTCTGTATAGGATCTTGGGCAACTGGGCAACGTACTTCTGTTTATCATCTGTAAAAACAGGAGTAAGAATCGCTTCCTCAAACAGTAATTAGTGCATGTGAAAAAGTGCCTGGTAATTTGTAAATTATGGAAGACACTGTTATACTTGAAAAATCCTCCTTGTGCTATAGATGAGCTTTATATCTTTGCTCTCTCTCCCACCACTCTGCTCTTTCAGAAGGGAGTTGGCAATGGCAGCAGTCATTTTTATTCCATTTAATTAACAGTGGATATTAATAGCTTCAAATGTAAAAATTCAGGGAAATTTGCATTTTAAAATAACAGATAGGTGGTCTTGCCTTCAGCATTTTCCTATTTAGTGCTTTTTATACTTTTGATTTCTTTTCTGCTCAGTCCAACCCCTGTCACAATGGAGGTGTTTGCCATTCCCTGTGGGATGACTTCTCCTGTTCCTGCCCTGCCAACACGAGTGGGAAAGCCTGTGAAGAAGCTCAGTGGTGTGGACTCAGCCCGTGCCCTCCCAGGGCCCAGTGCCAGCTGGTGCCTCAAGGATTTGAATGTAGGTAGAGATCAAACCTATCACCTCGCCAGTTAAGTTGGGCCATTTGAGTTATTCCAAGATGAAACAGAGGAAGAGAATACAAAACCAGCTTATTCAATTAATCCGTGGTTATTTCCCCTATATGAGGAGGCTAATAAACCTGACTGTCCTCTTGCCTCATCCTGCCTCAGTGTCTGGGTGGGAAATGGAGGTCATAGCAACACTAAACCTAGATGCTTGATCATTTAAAGCTGATTTCATTAAAGATAATTAACCAGGTAACATTCCCTTTCCTCATTACTGGGAATACAGAATACACACGTGTGCATTGCACATTGCTGTTTTTTAACTACGAGGCCTCAGGCAATTCATTGCTCTCCATCATCTAAAGCTTCCTCACCTGTAAAATAGGAAAAACAATTTCTGCTTTGTTGGTTTCTTTGTCATGATTCTACGACCTTATGTGTAGATAAACATGTTAGGCACTCGATTAACGTTTGCTGTGAGAATTTCCCTCATCGTGAAAGGTTTTCCTGTCCATCTTCTGTACTACAGAACACAATTCTCCAAATGTTAACAGATTGAATAGGATACAGTATTCACAATTTTTGCATATCCACACACTAACTATACTGTTATTTATATTGTCTTTTCACCTACTTCCAATAATGCACTGTCCAATCTATAGACAACCCTCCATGTTTGCACTTATTCTAATTTCTTCCCCTTATTCAAAGATTACGTTCCTAAAATTTTTCTCTTACCAGCATCAATTTTTCCATCATTACAAAAGACTTCCTTTGCCCCTTTCCACCCCTATTCCTACCAGCTACCATCCCATTTCTCTGCTTTCTTTTATAGAGAGAAAAAAGAAAACCCTCTAATGTGTTGTCCTCAATGTGCTTCCGTTATTCT